TAAGTTGTAAAATAATTTTATAAAATGTACTCCTTTACACAAAGCAATTCCTGGCTTCACAGAGGACATACTTCATCAATATTGCTTTCATAAATAACATAACAGCATAATATTGTTTCCATAATCATAACAACACACACAATTATATAAACATCATATCTGTCTAACAACATACTGACCAGTCTCACCCTCAAGTGAGTGCACTGAACTGCAATGGGACTGTACAGGTTTCCTACTACTCAGACAATCCTTTCTGAATGAGTCTTCTGTACAAGTGTCTGTGCTGTACCCTATATTGTGCATCACAAGGAAGGGGTTTATTATTTGAGACCTGCTAATAGCTGCCAAGATGAGATCTAATCAGAAGTAATTTGTGAAGCCACATCTCAGCTAACATTATCAAAGCTGTGACTGCTAAAAACCCCAAGCAAAAAAACACTTCTGACTGCTATGAGTGAAAAAGAAAAATAATCTCCCGATGTTATGATACAAACAGCGCTGCTGGAAAGTTCATCACTTCCCAGGAGCCTCGGCAGATTTAAATTTCACGTTTGGCTCCTGGCCCAAGAGCTGTATGGCTTGTGTAGACTGCAGTCGTCATGGATATTTTTCTGTTTTGTATCCCCCTTCAAGAGCTGGGACAGTTCTCTCTCTGGGGTGTAGAGAGAGGGGGCTACTGTATCCTGGGCAGGGGTACTTTGTAATGCCATTCTGTGCTTCAGCCATCTTTCTGGGTCATGTTAGTGCTGACATTGTGAACCAAACCTCAGCCGGGGTTGAACAGCCTCTGAAGAGCTGCATGCTTGCTCCCTTCATTTTGATGGAGGAATTAAATTCAACGAACGCCTAGAGAAGGGCCTTGAAGCTCTGAGAGAAGAGACACTACTGACAACTCTGGCTGTAAACGATTTCCACATTCTCTAATGTAAAAATCCCAAATCCCTGCTGATTAATTAAAATCATGTGCAATCCCTTCATTTTTGAATCTGTCAGAGAGAGAGAGATGGGTCTCAACAGCAGGATTATTCAAATCAGGAACAGGCTGTGATGAATTCTCCATCATTACTAAAACATTATAATATCTGATGACGTTGGCATCTTTGGTTCTTATTTTCCCCTCTTTCCTTTCAGGATTAGTGCATCTGACATAGCTGGCCCTTCAGTTCTTAAAAATATGCAAATAATAAATATATCAAATAATTGACACTTCCTTACTTACGCCAAGATAAATCTTATAATTGTCACAAGGTAAAACAGAGCCACTGCAGGGAGAGTGAAGTGTGATGGTCAGGATAAAGGATTAAATTAAAAAGCCTGTTACTGAACTTCACAGTTTGCTTCCACAGGGTATAAAGACTGCTTTTGAAACCTTTGGTTCTGTGATGTAAGCGTCGTGTGTCGTGAAGCTTCGAAGAAAACGTAGAAAGAAGCAAGGCGCCACTCGTCTCAGACATCATCTAGCAAAACCAAGATTTGAGGCCTGAAAACCCTTATTCACCAGAGAAGCTCAGTTATTGCCCTCACGTTAAAAAAGGGTAAAAACAAAGAAAGCCCTCATGTTAGCACAAATGTATGGTACAGTACATGGGAAGAGGAACTACAGCTAGCAAGTCCCTGCTCTTGGAATGAAATCAGTGGGTAATCCCTGCCTTGGCAGAGCACTTCTCTAATGAGCAGGAGCTGCCACAGCTCAGGACCAGCTCAGTGAGCCGCTGCCGGGATTAATTAACTTGCCAGCAAGCAGCAATCTGCTTGGACTGTTCTTGTCCCGAGAGTTCAAAAAGAGAAAAGAGGGAAATTAAAGAGGAAAAGAGGATGAGTGCCTCTTTTGTCAATCTCCACTGAGGGGCCTGTAGGCCTCGCTCAGGCCTGGTGCGCGTCTGCGCTCGGAGGCAGCCTGAAACACACCGGGCCTGGGTTTGAGCCGGCTGCACTGGAACACCCAGTATAATTCAGGGCCCTGCTGAAGCCTGGGGCTGTGCTTTGTGGGAACAGCAGACGATTACACCAAAGGATCTAGAAACTTTCACTTTAAACACAGGACCATTCACAGATTTTTTTTTTGTCACCAGAACTACAAAAATGATGAGGACAATCTGGTTTAGAACAGTGCCTTTAAATCATGGGTATTCACTTCTGGCCTTGAAGGGCCAGGGTATCTTTCGGTTTTCATTTTATTTTAATGGCTTTATTTCAAGACTATGTTACCACTGCTTGCAGGTCTGTAAAGATACTTGTGAAACCCGATGGATTTGTGCCCCCTGCCAAAAACATGAGCCCTTATTTTCCCAGTGGCTGAAATGCCCTCTCTGGACTACATTAATTCCAAAAGGTCAGCTGTCCTAAGTGATAATTTATTTGCTTGTTAACTAAAGTAATGAGAGAGAAATATTATCATTGTAATAATAGTACAATTATTAATAGAAGAGCTATTGTTACAGGATTTATCCACACTTTATAGTGTGTACTTTACTACTCCAATACAGTGCAATGCATCAAAGAGCTTCTTTAAACTACAGAAAGCAGGAGGTCGTAAGGCTTAAGTATTCTGATGCAAACAAAGATGGAGATAGAGCATGGGAACCAGTCAGGGCAGCGGTCTCTAAACAAGTCTAAGGATGCTAGATTTTTGTCTGTTTCACACTTGAAAAATAAAAAAATTCCTGTACTTGATCACACGCTAAGCAATTGTGATGGAATTTGAGTAATGCTAGTAGTACTTATTACACTTATGACTTATGGTAAAATGCCCCTTAAGTGCCAAGATAAAATCTTTCCAGTTGGCTGTAAACATTCAAAATGCTGCTGTTTCCTCTCAGTGTCTAAATATGGCCATGGTGTGCCAGAAGGCGCTGGTCCTGTGGTCATGTGACCCGTTCCCACAGCGCAAGAGAGAATGAGAAGAAGGCCTAATCCTCTTGGGTTTAGCTCTTTCACATTCGCTCCCAATCCATCAGCCTCCACAGATTTCCAGTACAGAGGAATGTGGGAAAATTGCAGGCATCAGTCCCCTTCACAGCTCCCGTCTGCTAGCCCGCATCTCGGAAACACAGAATTCCCATCCTTTTTGCTGATCCTGGACGCTGTCAGAGAGACTGCAGTTCTGCTGTTTTATTTTTTTGAGAAACAGGGAAACAGCACCCTGGGTTCTGACATACTTGCACGGTGACCCTGCAATATGCCTGAGAGGACCTTGTCTGGTCACCTTGTCCCATTCGCGGCCACTCCTTACATAAACAAATACAGCAACACATCCTTTCAAAAAAAATCAAAACTCCTCAACGTTGGAGCACATTACAAAACCCAATTCACAATGCAATTAATCTGCACGGAATTAGTTTAAAAAAAACACCAACAGCCTTCCCGACATTTTAGGGTTTGGCCCCCTAACAATAAAACAATTTGAGAGCAGAGCCGCAACTTGATGGTAAAATACTGAAATTTAAAACTGAATGAGGAAAAATGATTAGATGATTAAGCTAAACCTCGAAGAATTAAGGATCCATAATCATACTCAGATTCTTTATGTGATGAGAAAGCAGCTGGGCTGAGGCAAAGTGAAGGCATTGGACCAAGATACAATGCATAGAATCCACAAACTCCAGGTGCAGCTACAATTAGAAGAATCTAGGCTTACATCATGTGTGTGCATATATAATTGGTCATATTTGTGAATACACATAGAATTTCCTAAATTATGAAATCCATGCTACCTAAGAAGCTATGTGAAATTGTTCAGCAGTTTGTTCTTTTCTTGGAGGTGGTGAAGCCAAAATTGTAAATAAGTGTAATGTAACACAAAGGCCTGTAGATCCTTAAAAATTATTATCAGCTTTGACAGAAAAAAGAACAACAGCGCAAAATTATCCAAGTGAACCTCGTTTTCTCTCTTCTTCTCAGACGTCACTCTGAGAAGGCTACGTTTCACAGCAGGGCCAGAGACCGCTGAATGGAGGCTGGGGAGGTTATCTGGTTTGATAAGCACACTTTGTTTGCAGATATGTCTGCACTTCAGCAGGAGCAGATGCGTGAGGCTGTGGATTGAAAAGCGAAGGCCGGGCGAAGCCGCTGGAATGCAGGATAAGAGAAGAGACATGTCGGGACTGTTCCCCGGACAGCGCGAGGAGCTTGCAGTGGATAACAACCATCTCCTGACGTAGATGTAAACAGTCCTGCGGGCCTCACATTCCACAAAGCGCGTGAAATTCTCTCTGGTTCGTTTATTTTTAACCAAAATTCAACTGTTGAAAACCAGGTCTTGGAGCTTCATGAGTGTGCGCAGGTCTGCTCTCGCTTTTATAAAAGACGTTTAATACAAAACAGAGCCACCAGGTCGCCTATGTAAAAGTTATAATAATTACAGAGGGGCTAGCCAATTATTTTACCTGAAGTAGGTAAATATCCATTCAGCCCAGTTCAGGTTCATGAAGAGGCTTGTACTGTAGGTCACTGTGTAAGTGAACAGCAGCATATTGCAAAAGGTGATTTTCAGCACTGTTTTTAGCTGTTCAGCACTGATTTGCAGAGAAAGCATTGCATAGGACATCAAAAATCATCATCAGAAATTCTAATTTAAAAAAATATCGGTAATAATACTAAAGACAACTGTCACAACATGTATGATTCAAAGTAAAATCCCCTGGTTTGTTAACACATGAAAAGCGATCTTGTTCCCCTGCAGCAAGAGGAACTTCATACTATTTCAGGGACACACAATAATATTCCCAAAGGGGCTAAGTGTACTCGGGCTTTTATTTCACTTCTGTTCATCACTTGGAAAGAAATCTATGGATCAGAAGTTCAGTTGCTTTGCATTGCCGGTCAACTGAAAAACACCCTGTTCAGAAAAAACAGGTAAAAAATGTCCAGGTTTCTCTCTCTCTTTGCTCTGTTTTTCTCTGACAATATTGCGTTAAACTAAACCTGCCACAGTTAGCCCAGACTTTATCATATGGTTTTGACAAATTATTACAGGAAAAAAAAGGTCCTCTGTAACTGACCTGCAGTCTTACGTCCCGGAGAGCACAGGCAACCTGGAACAGAAAACACTGATGTTAATGTTGGTATGTAGACACTTGTCCAGTCAGTTGGTCCACCGGTTACTTTAATATCAGCTAGGTTCAGCTTTCTGAAACACAGGTGTCCCAATAGATTCAGGTTTCCCGAATACTTGAGTAAATGGAAAACGGGGGCTTAGTGTTCTGTGGTCCATGTTACACTCATCAAGGAATGATGTAACTTTTCCATTTCTCCCATAAAAATGACAAATAAAAAGTTCCATGAATTAGAATTCAACACAAGATCATGTGATCAAATATAAGTGATTGTAAAATGTAATGTTATTCAACTTGAAGACCTTGATACCGACTTTGAAGACATTCATGTAGGTCCACCTGCAACTATTGCCCTGACTGACTCCACACTTGTGACCTACTGCCCTTATAGTTGACTCATTTAACTACCCCCACAGGCTCAAGATGCAAGGAGGATGCATGAGGGAGGCAAGACAACACAGTCATAAGTTGGTGGAGAAGCACAGAAACTTTTAAAAGTTTTCAGTGGGCAGCACCGTGCTTGAGCAAAGATCTTCCTGCAGTTAGGAAATCTAAGACTCAATATGGAACCTGTACAACATACATTTAAGATGTGAGGCACATGATTCAATCCAGCCAGCTATTTTCTAATCGCTTCTTCCAACTCAGGGTCACGAGGAGACGGAACCTATCCTGGCAAGCAACAGGCACAAGGCAGGGTACTCCCTGGATCGGACGCCAGTCCATGGCAGGGTGCGCACACGCACGCACGCACTTAGACCAGGGCCAATTTTCCCAGAAGCCAAATAACTTACCAGTATGTCTTTGGTCTGTGGGAGGATACTGGAGCATCTAGAGGAAACCCGCAAGAACTTGCGGAGAACATACAAACTCCACACAATGCTGCACATCACAGAGTCCTTCAGAGCTGTAGTTCTGGAGCTTCTGTAGTGGATGCAATCTATTTGATATACCTGCTTTGTTATATTTTGTTCTAAGACATCTCTATGTTATTTAAAATAGTTTATTGCTACTGAATCCCCTAATTACCTAAATTGATTTGACCCTCCGTGTGCTGTATTAATGTACATTCAGAATTCACATGCAATACAGTACTGAATAAAGGTAATGATCAACAACATGCGCAGGTAAACAACTGCTCTTCTGGCTTCTGTGTCTTCACAGAGACTCCAGTTGGTCAATGGCGATGTCACAGAAAACTGATCCAAAGAATAAACAGATAGGTCATTATGTTATGGCTGGGAAACAAAATGCCAAAAGAGCTTTGTTTTTAACCTGCATCAAACTGTTGCATGACTACAGAGGAGAGATTATGATATCACAACTTCTAAAAATTGAACTTTAATGGTCTCGTCAGATAGAAACGGATATCTAACACCACGGCCACACAGTGAGGAGAAAATACACAGCAGAAGATTGTTCAGCACAATCCTGTCCAAAAGAGAAGAACATTTGGCAGCAAGGAGACACTAACAAGGCCCACTTCATCCTGACTCAGATACACAGGAACCTCAAACTGAGAAGCAGCTGAGAGCCAGGTGATCAGTCAGTTGGTAACATGTCATTTTCCAAAAATGAAAATAAAGTTTCCATCGCCAATTCCTCTTTCAGTGTTGAGAGGCACACTTCCTTAAGAGAGGTCAATTCAAACCACATCCAAGACAGCAAACCTTCAGCTGGAGAGCACCGGCAGAAAGTGCGTAGGAAAAGTGATTGGTGGGGAAAACAAGGGAAGAAATGATAGAATTTTATGTTTTGAATGTATAAATTGGAGAGGAACATCACACAACAACATTGCCTGCCAATTTATAATGTGCTCATACGCTGATATACTGTATAGTGTATTAACAAAGCTTCAGACATGCAAACACTACTTGTGGATATATGAAATAAACTGAATCAAAAATGAGACATCTTGACAGAAAGGGGAGAAAACCTTTCTTCAAAAAGAAGAACATTTTGTTACTAATCATATGAGTTATGAAACACATCCAGTATGGCGAGACAGTGACAGAACATGTTTTGGAGTATGAGACAGAACCAGCTTAAGGCTGATTCACAATTACTTCCTAAAAATGTACCACAGAAAACAGCCGATTTCCTGAAATTGCCTCAGTGAACCACCACTGGAGGAGTTCTCTCCTCTTGCAGTCAAAAGAAGTTCATGCTCCTGATTGTACCTTGGATTTAACAGCCTTGTTGATAATAAAACAACTTGAGTCACCAAACCTAACCCAGAATAATAGAATAGTAGACACATCCTGAGCCCGGCATATCGGGACGAAAAAATAAAATCCGTCACCTTGTCAGCCCAGATAATCAACAATTAAACGCTCCAACCTCTCTATTTCCTTAACAGATCCCGAACAAAAGACACAAAAGGTTATTACTTTCCTTTAAAACTTCATACAGCCCTTTGTTCATGACACAGGAATTTAAATATTCAAAGTTGCTCCCAAAGAATAGGTGGTTCTGTAGCTTATAGTTGGAAAATGTCCACAAATTCACAGGTACAATCTGATGCTCCATTAACATTCAATTGCCAGCTGTTATGATAAACCAAGGCTTTATGTTAAAAAAAAAATCTAACACTGGGACAAATATATCTTTTCTCAATTTCTGTTACCTTGAAATGGATCAACGTTGCTGATTAAACTAGAACGCTATGAATTTCTACCCTAATTTTTTCTTGCTTCCAAAATACACACAGATCACAACTCCAGTAACTCTGTGTCAAGCATTCAAAAATAAGCGATTGAAAAAAATGGCCATTTGGGGGCGAGCCTTGTACAAAGGGCTGTTTTTTTCCCAGAAGCCATTTAAGCTACCAGTACGTCTTTTAAGCGGTGGGAGGGAACTGGAACACAAAGGGAGAACATACTTCCCCTACAAAGATAGCACCCCAGTTCATAACTGAACCCAGGGCCTCAGAGCTGTGAGGCAGCAATGCTAACCACTAGGCTACTGAACTGGGCCAATGAACTTGATCGGAACTTCGAAGCAATAGCTCTTCCCAAAATGAGCCAAACCCCAAAACTATGATTTATACTCTGAGCTAACTGAACTGGCAATTTAAAAAAGGTCAAGTGGAGAGGAACTATAAAGGACTTTATTTAACCAAAACTGGGCTACAGTACGTACTTCTTTGAAGCTGGACCGGGTGTGCATGCCTTTGCTGACCTAAAGCTGCTAAAGATACAACTTAGCAAAAAGGTAAGGACAGAGTAGATGACTGCAGTAAAGCACAGGAATTCATTACGAATCAAAATTGCATATACGTATTTGCATTCAATCACCATGTTTTGTTGAATGACTCTACATGCTTGTCTAGTTTTTTAGAGACTCCCACACAAAAAATATCAGTATGTCTGGGAGGGAATCCACATAATGCAAACTGATGTAATTAACAATTATAACTGATTAACAGCTACAAGAGTCTGGACTGAATAATGGACACTATGTGGGTAGAACAGACAGAAAAGCACCTGGCCAGGTGGAACAGCAGTTGTTTACACCAGACCTGTGCATGTTTGTTCATTTTAGCATTTTAGTTTTTTTCCCATTTAACAGGAAAAAAAAACTGTGAAAGTGACTTGCTAGCATGAATGGACAGCTAATCCACACAACAAAATGAAGGCATAAATTTCCTGCTAACCTCAGTCTGAATAACTGAATAATTGTTTCACATAGCTCTGTAAAATTCCAAAATGAATATCCAGTCACAAGGCCAAAACTCTATTCAGGACACATTGATTCCCGGGATAAATGGGTATTTAAAGAAAAACAATCAGCCTATTGATTTGCTAGGATATTCCTGAAAACAGACCCCAAATCACCCTCTTATAAGTCTCTCAACTCTGCCAAAACAAGAAAGAAGCAGAGCAACAAAATGGCTATTGTTTTCTGTAACATGCAGATTTGCCTATAGGATCAGTCCATAAGCCGAGGTTAATATTCCTAGCTGCCCATATGCTCTCTCACAGCGTACATGTCGAATACGCCAATTCTATTTCAAACAGTTGAGAGAAAGCTGAACACATACATGTGCCATGGCTCAGACTCCACTTTCACTACCGCTACTTCAATGAATCAGTTTCAGTTACCGAACAATCAAATCCTCTTTGTGTGGGTGAGCCAAGAGTCAACATCTACCAGGATTAAAATCTTCAACTCTGTGGTCATTTCTCTAACAAGTCCATTACTTTCCTTATTCCTTATATGAATACCAGGTGTCACAACAGCATCCAATTGGCCAAGGAATACCTGATACCAGTCCTGCTTGGTTTCATATATTTCATTTCAGTTTATGTTGTGCATTTCCAAATGAACAGAGAAGTCTAACATTTCCCCAAAGCTTTCATTTTCACTTACAAGTCTTTTAGTGTTATACAGCACCATCACAGCTAAGACTTAATGGGATATCTGCAAAACACTGACTTTTAATGGTACTGTAAACATGACAGACTACTGCAGTATTTATTATCACCCTCTTGTCAGATCTCAGGAGCTGGTGAAGTCAGGTCAGTGCTAGCCTGGGAATGCCCTGCAGAAAACTAGGCTTCTGTTTAAAGTGCTGTTGATTTGACCTGTAGGGGACATTCTTCCCTCTGGGATGATCCCAAGTCTTGTATATATCCCATGGCACTGTTCATAGAAGAAGGGGTGCTAGAAATGGGACAGATTGATGTTTTCACACAGTGTTTGTCAAAAAGAGGCATCTCACTTTTCACTACCAATCTTACGTATGGGAATGTTTTTAAAACGATCACCCCTTTTCAACCCCAACAAGCAGCCTGACTATCATCTGTAAGACAGTCACTGACCACCTCTTATCTCATTTTGTTGCAGTGTGAATTGAGGCCTATTGAGTCACCTGTGCCTGTAACAATACTCTTCTATGAAACGGCCGTTTGAACAGTCACACACTCTGCAAAGATGCATAGAGGGGTTGGCATTAATCTGCATCTAAACAGACACAG